AGGGCAGAGCAGTGGCTCCTAATCCAAGTGAGACATTGAAAGCTATTCAAAGGTACCTTCACCAGGCATGGTAGCTCACAGCTGTAATTCCAACAGAGGCTGAAGCAGGAGGATTGCTTGAGCCCAGGAGTTCGAGACCAGCCTGGACAGCACAATGAGACCCCATCTCTACAAAAAATAAAAACTTAGCTGGGCATGGTGGCACACACTTATAGTCCCAGTTATTTAGGAGGCTGAGGTGGGAGGATCACTTTTGCCTCTAAGGTTGAAGCGCCGTGATCACACCATTGTACTCCAGCCTGGGTGTCAAGGTGAGAGCCTATCTCTAAACACACAAACATATCAGTGCTATTTTGGCAAGTTGTAATCATTGGAATGATGACTCAATTCAGAATTTTTTTTATTTTTCTATGACAGAGACTCACTTTGTCGCCAGGCTGGAGTGCAGTGGCCTGATCTCGGCTCACTGCAACCACCGCCTCTTGGATTCAAGTGATTGTCCTGCCTCAGCCTCCTGAGTAGCTGGGACTACAGGTGTGCATCACCATGCCCAGCTAATTTTTGTATATGTAGTAGAGACGGGGTTTCACCATGTTGGCCAGGATGGTCTCGAACTCCTGACCTCAGGTAATCTGCCTCCCAAAGTCCTGGGATTACAGGCATGAGTCACTTTGCCTGGCCCATTATGAGTTTAAATGATCAGAAAATACTTGAATTTTGCACTTTAAGATAACACTGTTGGCTGGGCGCGGTGATTCATACCTGTAATCCCAGCACTTTGGGAGGCTGAGGTGGGCGGATCACGAGGTCAAGGGATCGAGACCATCCTGGCCAACATGGCGAAACCCCATCTCTACTAAAAATACAAAAAAAATTAGCTGGGAGGCATGCACCTGTGGTCCCAGCTACTTGGGAGGCTGAGGCGGAAGAATTGCTTGAACCCAGGGGGCGGAGTTTGCAGTGACCCGGGATTGTGCCACTGCACTCCAGCCTGGCTACAGAGCAAGACTCCATCTCAAAAAAAAAAAAAAAGATAACACTGTTGCATTGCTCTTCTAGATGCCATAGCAATTGAACCGCCCATCATCCATGTATCAAACGTATGAACAAGTCAGACACTATGATCTTTTTTGTACTAGAACCCATATTTCCACTCCACTCTCAAAATGCCATGTGAATGAAAGGTTTTTGTTTGGTTGGTTTTTTGCCTAACAGTCTTATTGATCATACTATCTTATTTCTCTGCAACAGAGATATGTATATCCTACAAATTAAAACCTAATATAGGCCGGGTGCAGCCTAAAACTGTAAAACTTAATATAGTTTTTTTGTGACCACAAAGCCCTAAGTACTAAATATTTCTTTTGGATTATTTTTAGTATACAGTTGCTCAAAATAACATAAATGGGTTACAAACTTTTGTTAGTTTGTTTGAGACAGAGTCCTCACTCTGCAGCCCAGGCTGGAGTGCAGTGGCATAATCTGGGCTCACTGCAACCTCCGCTTCCCCAGTTCAAGTGATTCTCCTGCCTCAGCCTCCTTTTGTATTTTTAGTAGGGTTTTGCCATGTTGGCTACACTGGTCTCAGACTCCTGACCTCAAGTGATCTACCTGCCTCAGTCTTCCAAAGTGCTGGGATTACAGGCACAAGCCACCACACTTGGTCAAATTTAAAAAAAAAAAAAAAAAGAAAGAAATTTATGGTGCTCGCTTCAGCAGCACATATACTAAAAATTGGAATGATACAGAGAAGATTAGCATGGCCCCTGTGCAAGGATGACACGCCAATCCGTTAAGTGTTCCATACTATTTTTTTAAATTATAAAATAAAAAAAAAAAAGAAAGAAAAAGAAATTTATGGCTGGGCGCAGTGGCTCACGCCTGTAATCCTGGCACTTTGGGAGGCTGAGAGGGTGGATTGCCTGAGCTCAGGAGTTCGAGACCAGCCTGAGCAACATGGCAAAAACCCATCAAGAAAGAAAGAAAGAAAGAAAAGAAAGAAAGAAAAGAAAAGAAAGGAAGGAAGGAAGAAAGGAAGGAAGAAAAGAAAGAAAGGAAAGAGAGAGAGAAAGAAAGAAAGGAAGGAAGGAAGGAAGGAAGGAAGGAAGGAAAGAAAAGAAAAG